AACGTGGTTTAGTGAAAACGACCTAAAGCCCAAACCTGGCGGGCGCAAGCCTGGGAAATAACGGCCGCGGCGCCCTCTCGAGAACCGAAAACGGACAATTCACTAATCGATGTGTCACTGTCGGGGGTTCTGTCCACCCCCGACCCGATTCTTAAGTTAACGCACGGTACGGCACGCGGGCACGACATGGCATCTGTTGCGCACTTTGAGCCCTCTGCGCGACACGGCACGGCACGCGGCTCGCGGGCACGGCACAGCACCTGTCCCGCACGGTAGACATCGGGCACGGCACGGCACGGCACGCCGTTCGCAGACACAACACGGCGCGGCACACGTTGATGCATTCTCGACCTAAGCAAAGGCATGGCTCCGAACAGCACGCGGGCCTGGCAAAGCACGGTGTCTCGCATTCGAGAACCGAGGCGCGTCACGGCATGACGTGTTGTTCACGGTCAAGGCATGGCACGGCACGCGAGCACGGCAAGGTACGGCACTCCAGCGACAGACGTTTCGCATTCTGTATTTCAGATACGGGCTTACTCAATGCACTCAGACCTCCTACAGCATTCGCTGTTAGGGGGATTCTCTGATGTCGTAGACACGTCCGGAATCTGTGATGTCTGCTGTCAAGCATACGCAAGCACAGTCGCATCCGATGTGTATTTGACAGATTTCGGCGGCCTTGGGGTGGGAGCCATTTTGGGGTCACCCCGCAACCTCTTGGGCTCTCTTTGCATCGTGTGGGAGCCCTCTCGGGATATTCAAGTGGACACTCCTGGTCGTCTTGAAAGCGCTCGGAGCCTCCAGAGGAGAACTCCGAGGAGGCTCCCTGAGGCGGCGCTGAGCGTGGTCTTGGGGGCGGGGAGGGGGGCGTGGTGGGGCCAAGGGTACCTGGGCCGGCTTCCAAATACAGCAAGTTATCGCAACAGCGGAACCGACAAAGAGCCGCGACCACCACTGGGGCATTTCGGGCCCACGCTTTCTGCCTCTTCCTCCTGCTGCTCTGCCTCACCTGACCGGGTGGACTGGGAGCATGTGCGCCGAGTGGGGGATCCACCGGTGGCATCGTGGACTGGCGGCCTGGTGGTTTAACACAAGGCTAGGATCAGGATGAATCGCTCCAGAGCGCTCCGGAAAGCTCTCAGAGCGTTCCGGAACGCTCTGGAGCGGCCGCGGCGCCCAGTACATCCTCCAGGCCCGCCGATTCTCAGAGAGTTCGAGCTATCCCGATCCGATTTTGTCCCGATCTTCGCGTCGTTCCCAGACCCCCGACGTCATGAATTTTTCATGACGTCGACCCCCAGCGGTCTGGACCCATTCCCCGGGACCGTTTTTCGTCCTGAGTCGTTTTTTGACGGTCCCGAGGGCCGGTAAGGGCTCCCAGAGGCCAAAAATAATGAACAACCTCCCGTCGTGATTTTTTCATAACTCGAGGGGGTCTGGGTTTTATGGTTGCCAGCAGTGTCGCTGGCCCAAGGTGCCCCCAATGTGTCTCAAGCAGGCGCCCACGGCCTCCGGAGGAGGAGGAGGAGGGGGAGGAGGGGGAGGAGGAGGAGGAGGAGGAGGAGGAGGAGGAGGAGGAGGAGGAGGAGGAGGAGGAAGAGGAGGAGGAGGAGGAGGAGGAGGAGGAGGAGGAGGAGGAGGAGGAGGAGGAGGAGCCTCACGGGGGGCCCATGGGGGGGGCGTCCAGGCCCTCGGGGTCGAGCGGACAGTGGGGGGCACCATGGGCCGGGGGCACCTTCAGCAGCCCCCCGTACAGTCGAGGCGTTGACCTGAGGAACCCTAAATCAGGAACGAGGCTCCTATTTTCCATGAGTTAAACTTCGATTTCGCATCGAAAACCTGAGGAAAATCCGCCGACCCCTTGGGGTTCTTCGGCGTGTGAAATGTTCCCCCTCCCCAAACCCCTCCCCCCGGAGCCCGGTCCGGTCGATTTGGAGGGGGGGGGGGGTTCGGATGCCCCTCCGGGGCCCGAAGCTCGTGGGAAACCTCGTGAAAATCGTGCAGGGACGCCTCTGGTGGCTTCGAAATCGCTCCGGGACGCCCAACGAGCGCTCCAAGACGCCCAAGGTGGCGAAAAAACGGGCCACGAGGCTATCTCGACGGCAGAAGAGGTCCCCACGAGCCCCTGAGGCCTCCGAGATGCGCCCCAAGAGGGTCCCTAGAGGCAAAAATTTGCCCATTCCCTTCGTGAAACGTACATTTTTCACAAGTTCGGTTTCTGAGCTTTCCGATGCTCCCCGACGGCCCAAGAGGCCCCCAAACCCGCCCCCAGACGACTGAAGAAGCCTCATACCCCTAGAGGGCGCCAAGACGGGCCCACAGGCGTCCAAGACGGCCCAAGAGGGCCTCGAAAACGGCCCCAAGAGCGCCAGGAACGCTCCGAGCGGCCTCCGAGAGAGCTCCACAATGTCCCAGACGGTTCAAGAGCGATCAAAAACATCGACGACGGCCTCCAGACGGCTCAAGAGGCCCCCAAGACGCCCCAAGAGGCACCCAATATGCCCTCCAAGAGGGCCTCTAGACGCAAAAAATCGCCCCTTTCCTTTGTGAAACTTTACTTTTCCACACGTGCGCCTTTTGGGGTGCCTCCAAGAGGGTTCCCAAATAGCCCTAGAGGACCCCAAAACGGGCCCACAGGCGTCCAAGACGGCCCAAGAGGGCTCCGAAAACGGCCCCGAGAGCGCTCCAGGAGCGCTCCGAGTGGCATCCAAGAGAGCTCCACATGGTCCCACACGGTCCCAGAGCGATCGCAAACACTGCCGACGGCCTCCAGACGGCAGAGGCCCTCAAGACGCCCCAAGACGCATCCAAGCTGCGCCACAAGACGGCGTCAAGACGCAACAAATCGCTCGTTCCTTTCGTAAAACATATAGTTTTTTCACACGTGCGACGCAGCAGCGGCCGGCGGCGGTTTGTCGCGGCGACATGGGGGGTCCTCAGAACTGCAAAACGTTGGGTTTCTTGTCGCGTGGCTGGAAGGAGGAGGATCGCGATCCCTCTGGGCGTGCTCCGTGTGCCAGCAGTCTGGTGGCGATGGAGGTCCTGACTATGTCGACGGTGACGGCTGCGACACAGTGCACGAGTAAGACCACGCGCGAAATAGCGAGAGACAGAATGTTGGTGCTGAAAGGAACCCCCCCAGGACTTACCAGGAGTCCCAAGGGGTCGGCGGTGCGGCGTAAGTCCATGAATCTAAAGCAAGCTGCGAAACAATTAAGGAACACGGAGCCCCTCCCCAACGAAAAGGGTTTCTTCTTCAGGGCCCCGACTGTATGAGTTCCAGAGCTGCAGGCGGTCCGCGGCAGTGCGCACTCGCTCCTGCGTCTCCGGCCGCGCGGGACGTTCAGAGAACCTGGGAATTCTGGAACGCATCGCTGTCATTACTTCTCGCTCCGCTGGCCTTCCTCCATTCGTCCGCGTCCCTCCTCTCTTGCTCCTGCGTGCTCATGCGAGAGCAGGCCGACAACATTTCCCGCCCGTTCACCAGGACTCACTGTCGCTGTCGCCGCGGTCGTTGTCAATCTGAAACAATCGCCTGCCCAAGAGTGGCCGCTGTCGTTTTTTTCGGCAGCATCTGCGGTTGGGCATCGTGATCACTTCTTCCGTACAGGGCGTACCAAATCGAGTGTAGGGATTCCAAACTTCCGACGCCGTGAACAAACCAACTACACCCTGGAGGTCTAGACAACTTCCCAAGGACTGGCTTCTCATCCTGAGTCGGGGATCTTCTGACCCGGGTCAATCCAGACCCGGGTCTGCAGGAAACCAAAAACTGCAATGCAGGAGCAAAAAACTGCAACGCAGATCTTCGCAAACCCGGGTCAGCCAATATGCGCGGCCGCCTCGCGGCCACGAGCGGCTCGCTAACCCGGGTCAGCCAGAGGGGGTCTTCGCAGGATCCTGCAGGATCTGGTGCCCTGGCTGACCCCCGTTTGCATTGACCCCCGTCTCAACGCTCCCGGCTGAGTCGCTTTCTGACAGTCCCGGGGCCCCGTGACAGGCCCCAAAAGCACAAAACAAAGTTCACGACGCGAGGAGGTCTAGCTCTGGGGTCAGAGCCGCCCGCGGCCTCGAAGCGGCCGCTCGGGACGGCTCGAGCATCCCCGAGGACGCCCTCGGCGAGACGCAGCGGCTGGCGGAGAACACCCCGACGCTGGAACACTTGGGCGCCCGAATTATCCGGGGTAACTCGGGCCCGGGGTAACTCGGGTTCGGATTCCCGAAAAACGAACCCGAGTTAGCCCTGACCCGAGTTACCCCTGATGATTCGGGGCTCTGGACGCCCGAATTATCCGGGGTAACTCGGGCTCGGGGCAACTCGGGCTCGGATTCCCGCAAAACGAACCCGAGTTAGCCCTGACCCGAGTTACCCCTGATGATTCGGGGCTCTGAAACACGTCAATCAGGGAATGTACGGGACCGTCAGGGAACCTCCAGGATCCTCACATCGAATCGCTGGCCCACCCATCCTTCCTCGATGGAGGGGGCAATGGTAGCAGGGACCGCCTCACAGGGGGCATCGACCCGGAATCGGCGATGCATCGCCGATAGCGAATTGGCGATTGGCCCGCCCCTGATAGCGAATTCGTCCTGGACATGGAAATATAAAAGTACCCCCCTGGGCCCGAACAAATGAATATCCACCGCCTGCCGAGGTCTCCGAAGATCGATCCCGCAGGTGGTTATGGATAACTCCCCGCCTCCCCTCCTCGGAGCGCTCCCTCCCTCGCAGCATGGAGGAACAGAGACCGGCATAGGCGCAATTTCTCGGAGGTCCGAGCGGGCCACCGAGAAATGCTCTCCGTGCGGCATCCCACTCCTCGACGGCAGCCCGCGCAGCAGACTGCCGGCGATGCGTGCCTCGCACGGCGGACTTCCCCTCGGCGGAGAAGCCGGCAGCCTCCGAGGCACGCCCCGGGAGGCGAGCGCGGCGAGGGCCGACCTGCCCCGACCCGTCCTCCCGGGGCGCCGCCCCCCCACAGCCCGCCGCCGGGCTCCTTGCCGCCAGACGCCCCCGCCCGGAACGGCTTGCCGGCGGCGTGGCCGATGGCCTCGTCCTCCTCTGGGCGCCCGCCGCCCTCCTCCCCCTCCTCCTCCTCCTCCTCCCCCCTCCTCCCCCCTCCTCCTCCCTCCTCCCCCTCCTCCCTCCTCCTCCTCCTCCTCCTCCTCCTCCTCCTCCTCCTCCTCCTCCTCCACCCGGGGGGAGCGGGAGTGCGGAGCTCGGCGAGCGAGGGAAGGTGCTTACAGGGAGCTGGCCAGCCTCGAGCTGATCGCTACTCCAGATTTCGTAATAAAAGGGAGGGGGTCTGGACCCTCCAAGACAAGCCATTTCAGACCTCCCCCGTGGGAGAACCCTCCAAAACGTCGTCCCAAGACCCCCCCAGGCCCTCCAAGATGGCCTGGAAGAGACCCCCCCCCCGAAATGAGACCCCCTTCCTTTATGACGAAATCTGGTGTATCCTGGAGGTTGACAAGCCCAAGGGCGATGACAATCTCAGGGAGCCGCCCTCGGAAACTGGGGGGGGGTCCTCCAGAGAGGCATCGGGAGGAGGCGATGCCAGTCGTAGGGGTGGGGAGATGTTTCGGGCTGATGAAGACTAGTGAGAAACCCTCGACGTCTTCCTTCCGAGCTTTCCTCGCGGCAAGTGACGCCGCGGCGCGGCCGCGGCGGCGGCCACCGCTGTGCAGCATCCGCCGGGCGGACGATGGGAGAGGGCGGAGGTCGAGGGAAGATGGGGTCTTTCCCTGCTTGGTGCCAACCTGTATCCAAGCAGTGAAGCACGGCACGTTCGCAGTCTTATCGCTGCGGCGTCAAACAAGCACAACCATGACTGTTGTAACGAATCAGTGTGCGTGACGGTCCGGAGACTCCTGCATTTCAGAATCGGGCGTCAGATCCTCTCACGCAGTGAAATAACTCTGCATGCAATGTGAACGGATACGTCAATCACCATCTCACCGAACTCTGACATCACCGCTGTGTTACACCTGGTGGCGTCGGGCGGCACTGGCACAACATCCTGAACGTTGGTCGCATTTCCGCTGCCACCCAGCCACGTTAGATACAGCTGATTATGTGTCTTGATGTGCCTGATGTTCTCAAGAAGCTCTGGTGGCACCACACTGTTGAGACCAGCCGATGATATCACACAGACTACCGCTGCGAGCGGGCCTCGGCAGATCGAACTAGGCTGAACTTCTTACCCGCTGGCGCCTGCAGGAGTTCCTTGAGCAACACATGACCGTCAGAATGCACATCAAAAGCATGCCACCCCTGGGCCGTGTGACGCAAACTCGCGCAGGTCGTGATCGATCGGTTTTCCAGGTTGTCTGTCTCTCTGCCCTTGCCCCATCTTGGAACGCCCTTTTGATGGTGCAGGCGCACGCTCCCAAGGCCGACACGATTACTGCTGACGCTGCTGCGACGGTTCTACGACTTCGATCATGCGTTTACGTCTCAACAATCACAAAGCAATCAAACCGCCTCACTATGCGTCTTGACGGAGCATGGACGGGGAGGGAGGAGGAACAACAAACAACAATATGCACGCGCAAATCAATATCGGACTTCTGTTTAGCCCCAACAGCGTGTCTGGTCATACGCTACGTGCAAACTGGGGGGTGAGAACTGCTGGGAAAAGAAGATGGGGAGCCACATGCAAATTGCTTTGGAGAATTGCTCCCCGCGGTTAAAGTCCATACCGTGTTGCTCTGGTGAGTTGTTCTCCGCGGTTGCAATCAATCTTGTCTTGCGATGGCGAATTGCCCCCCCCACCCCCCCCCTTCCCCGCTCCTCCCATCGAGAGGGCGAACCTTTGACCCGCTAGTGCGCACACGCCGTCGCCATCGTTGGGCGAAATACAGATGCGAAAATGCTAAGACCGTGCGACACGGAAAGTCGATAACCGATACCGAGTGCATGTCGCAAGTCAGCAAGGCCTGCACCTCGAACCACGCACGCTGGGCGGGCCCCTTCGGGTGAGGGCTTATGCCCCTGGCTATAGATTGGAGGGCGCGAGGACACGAGGTGGAGCAGCAGCGCGTCGAGCTGAAACACTGCGCGGCTAGGTCACCTTGAACCCCCTCCCCAGGCCAAGATATACTCACTAGGTTGGAGAGACACGATTCGCCAAGTGAATAGACATCGAGGTGGGAGGGAGCAGGGTGAGCAGGAGCTGGAGGGAAGCAGAGAGTTATCAGAAACGGAGGGATGGCGGTCGGAGGGGAGTGATGGGGAGAGGGAGAGGATGGGGAATTGGGCAGGGGGGGCGGCAGGGAGAGAAGTGGGGAAACCGGGGCGCAGGGAGAGCGGCGGAGGGGCGGGCAAGGGGAAAGGGGCATACATATGCGTAGCACCCCGCAATTGCGGATAAGAGTGAGGGGGCGGGCGCGGGCGACGCGGGCGTCGTCGAGCCGGCGGACCTCGTGGCCCCCACCTTCCCTGTCGATGGCGCTCTCCTCCTCCTCCTCCTCCTCCTCCTCCTCCTCCTCCTCCTC